GGTATTCGTGTTTCACAAATTTCAAGCTATTCAACACATTGAATTCAACTTCAGTTCAATCACTTAACATAAGAGCAAGGATTCCCCTTACCCCATTATAAATAGTAAATATTTCTTTTACTTCGACAGTTATTAATCGTTTTTATGTCCATCCGAAGTTAAGTGCTTTATGGTCACTTCCCTCTATCTGTGTGCAATGAAAAGAACAGAATTTTAATATTTAATTTAATTTACATATCTGGTTTTATATGTGCTACTGAATGTTTTATATATGCTACTATATTGTACTTACTGTCTGTTACTGCCAAATCTCTATAACTCAATATGTTACGCTGTTTAGCAAAGTTCTTCAGCTGGGATTGCATACGGTATAAGACCGTATGGAATTCCAGCTGAAGGAATCCCAGCTATAAAAGTATACCGGTCTTCTTGAATCTCGAAAGGATTGATTTCGCTTTATCCTGCAAATAAGCGCTATAATTTAGATAATATTCAGATATAATCAAGAAATATCTGAAACTTATCTTATTATGATAATGATGAAAAACGAAAAATGTCACATTTCTGGTATACGATTAGCATTCCTTAGGATTGACTGCACTAATCTTATTCAAACTGGTCGCAATCGGAAGCTTGCATCCACATTGTATAAGAAAAGTGCCGTTAGATTTTTGATTAACGGCTTGGTTCCTGAGGAATTTTAATCGAAAGTTTATTAGACGTAAAACTCCGGATAAGCTACTTGGTAGCGTCGCGGCCCCTGTACATAGGCAAGAAAGTTTATTAGACGTAAAACTCCGGATAAGCTACTTGGTAGCGCCGCGGCCCCTGTACATAGGCAATATAGGCAAACCGTTGACAATAAGACGAGATTTTTTTTATATACTTGGCGTCGCGACCATGAAGTAAGAGAGAAGGAGATCGAACTCCGTGAACCAAAAGTGGTCCTGATTCGTGGCACCTAATAGGGAGGAAATCCGCTGGAAGGAATAGTTTCTTATGGATAGACGCCATTTGCAATTATCAACCTTACCCGAGCAGCCCGGCTTTACCTCAGTTTTGTGCGGACGTGTTTCATCGCGTTTTTACGTCTGAAATATATTTTTTCGGAAGTATTCTCTTAAAGACAAGACAAAAAAATGGCATGTTGGATACGTGGATGCACCAACAAAGGAGGAAAAATAGTTAATTGTTTCGTTTCCGTGCTAGCTAAATGTGAGTCAAACAATCCTATCTAACACCACGAACAAGATTGTCCAGCAAATGGAGATAACAACAAGTTGCAAACGTGGGCTGAAATTAAGAGGAATCTGAAAAATCTTACTCTTACATCAGAATATTGGATCCCTGTGATCACAGACGAGATGGCAATGTGGGCTTATTGGAAAGAAGACTTGTCTTCCTGTACATGGCGTGTTGTACTTGAAAAAAATATGATACTTCGTGTAAGTACCTATCATTAGTTATATTATAACATTATGAATACAAAATCTTTCATGTAACTTTTTGTTACATTTGAAATGTATCTAATGATTTCAGATTTGTATTGGAGAAAGAGAAATTGATTCTCTAGGTGGGAAAATGAAAAGTATAGAAGATATTCAGAATATTCTTCAAAAATTATCCAATGTCAAACCATGTAAGGAAGTCGGCAGTAATTTCTGGTATTTGTGAACATTTATTATTACCATATATTTAAATTGTTTAAAATAATATTATTTTAATAAAAAGCTTTTTATTTATAAAAATATTTTTCTACATTTGCATTCATTACATTATCGTTCATTTTGTAGTGCAAAATTGTGCGTTGGATATGTGACAAGAGATTGCTCAGTACGTGGTGTGCAGCGCCAAAGATGTATACCGTGTGCAAAATATTACAAAAATATACTTAAAAAATCGAAGTGGTCAACACCATTGCAAAGATTGTCAAGAAGCGGACAATCCCTCCGTGTGAGATGTAAAAATGTTTTTCGGAAAAATTTGAGGCTTCAGAAGAAGGTAGACTTTCCAAATTCAATCCATTATTAAATATTTTGATCTGTAAGTGTATGTGTTATTTCTGTAGCTCGTATTGCGTTATATGGCTAGATTCTACAAAGCGCATATGTGCGCATTATCTATAGTATACGTAACGTGTACTGTAGATAAATGTGTTCATACGCGCTTTACGGAATCCAGTTATTGTAATGTTTTTTTGTAATGCAGGTTATACGTCTAAAAAAAGAAGTAGAGTGTATAAGGAAGAAATGCGCTCAAGCAAATACACAGGCAGTGACAGATGCTATATTAAAACTACCCAATAATCAGCAATTGTCTGTGCAAGCATGTCTTACAGCTTGTAAAGCAAAAAGTAATAAAGGCATAAGATACACCACACAGTGGGTGTATGAATGTTTGTTATTGCGAATCAAAAGCAAAAAGACGTACAACCACCTCCGAAATCACAACATCCTTACTCTCCATGTATTGATACGTTAAATCGATACATTCGAGCAATAAAAGGTTGCTATGGGTTCCAAGAAAACACATTCAAATTGTTAAAGGAAAAAAGTGCGAAAATGGAATCATCTGATGTGCGTGGTACGTTAAATTACATAATTTAATGTTACGTAATAATTTTTTTTTACTTATTACATTTAATCGTTTTTGTTGCAGGAGTTTTGCTGTTAGATGAAATGAAAGTGGCCAAAACAATCGCATTTAATCGTAACAACCTTCAAGTTGAGGGTTTTACGAATTTGGGGAAATATACTCCAAAACACCAGACTGGAAAAAAAGGAGACCACGCACTGATATTCATGTTCTAACCTTTTAAGGGCAAGTGGGTGTAAACACTAGGATGCTTTCTTAGTTGTGAAAGTGCATCTGGAGCAATTTTGCACCAACTTGTAATGGAATGTATCATTTTGGTCGAGAAATCCGGCTTCAAAGTTGACGGAGTCACATCAGATGGCGCATCTTGGAATCGCTCTATGTAGGACAAGTTTGGAGTAACGGAGGAGGAGGTCAGTGTTCCGCATATCATAGACCCGGAGCGACGACTGTGGTTTTTTTCAGATTTCCCTCATTTAATGAAATGCTTGAGAAATTTCTTCTTCAAGCACAATCAGATGGTATTTGGGTTAGTAGCAGCAAACCATATATTAATTCTATGAATGTGTGCACAATCAATATAAGCTTCCATTGTTAAGGCCCTTGCACAATGTCAGGCAACAGGCAATAGGAACAGGGAACAGAAAATATCCACCAATAGAAGCAGAGAATAACATCTATTCCCTTATCTTATTGATGGATATTTTCTATTCCCTGTTCCTATTGCCTCTTGCCTGACATTGTGCAAGGGCCTTTAGTATTGTTGTGCTTTCCGTTGTTTCCAGACACCAGATGGTATGCTGCCGCTAAAGCATTGGTATGCTCTCTACTTGCGATAGAAAATCCGAAATCTTTTAATTTGAAAGTTAATTATAAATTAACAGAACAACATGTGAAACCGAGATACTATCAGAAAATGAACGTCGCGATGGCATTCCAAGTAATTAAATATAATAATATATTATATATTTAATTTAATTTTTTTTTATTCTGTCGCGAAAGCAGCCGCTATTAGTATACTGCAAATGTATTACAACAGGTAATAATAATCGTTTTTACAGTTTTTCGGGGTCGCTAATACAATGGAATTGTTTAGAAACGATCATCCAGATCTTACGGATTGTGATGGATCTATAAAGTTTTGTACTAGGCTTAAAGCATTAATTACAGCAATGAACAGTCGAACGCCGATCAATGCATTAAAACCAAACAATCAATCGTGGAAGGTAAATAATACTCCATAGCACAATCTATAGTACATGTTCTATAAATAAGTCGTACAAGTACAATTATTAATTTCAAACTCTTTTTTTACTGTAGGACATAGAAGATTTTCTGCAATATCTACAAGCATGGGAAAAAGAAGCTAAAAAAAGAAATTATGAATTTATAACAGAATCAACATGCTATGGATTAAAAGTTTCTTTGAAAGCAGCCCTAGAAATTTGTACTTTTCTGGTACAGAAGTGCAATTTTATTTATTTGATGACTGCACGTCTTAACCAAGACAATCTAGAGGTATACAATCGTTTTACTTTAAAACTTACGGAATTAGCATAATGTAGTTTGCATACAATTGTATTCTTTTATTTCAGCGCTTTTTCGGCATGATGCGGCATTGCTGTGAGTCCAACGAACATCCGGATTCTCAGCTTTTCATTCAAATGTATTAGCTAGTATCAACATATTCGCTAATAAAACCGCCGAAAGGTTGTAACATATCTGGCGGAGAACTTATGAATGTTCTTTTGAGTATTAAAGACATAAAAAATCCCGCAGAAAGGCAACAGCAGTGGCTGGATCAGATCGACACTATATTAGACAGAGGCAAAAGTGTCGATATTCTTGCAGAGGCTGCTTCTGAGATTGACGGACATGACTATTTCCTGTGTACGACTTCCAACTATGTATTAAGTTACATTGCTGGATACGTTGCCAGAAAAGGATCAAGATTTGCCAAATTTGGGGACAGTAAACAACCCACAGTGTGCGAGGATTGCCTCAGAACAATGGTATTAGAACCGAATGATCCAATACCAGAGAAACATCGATTAATATTATTAAAAACAAAAGGAAACCTTAAACACCCGTCAGCTGCACTAGTCGACTTGCTATCGATTTTAGAACGAGGGACAATCGAAGCGACCAAAACGGGTGACATAAATGCTGATACGTTATTCAACATTACAAATAGAATAGACGCATTATCTCCTCTACCTGTAGTCGGTTGTATAAATCATGACAATGAGGTTACACACAAGGTTGTACGATTTTTTCTAACGACGAGGATGTTTTTTCTCTGTAAGCGATCAAATATTAATAATAACATTAAAAAGGAGCAAACGAAAGAAAGGAGAAAATGTTCCAAGCTGAGCCAAGCAAGTGATAGTTGCTACAATAATATGCAATCTCCAATCGCTCCAATCTGTTCCGAAGAAAATGCAGCACACACCGCCATAAAACTAAAACCTGCCAGGAAAAGAAAATGTAAAAAACAAGAGGCAATAATAAATAAAGAAAATGTATACAAAGAGAATAAAAAACCAAAAATAACATAAATTATAAACTTGTAACTTTATTTCTTTTTTTCCATTTGTATAATTGTCTTATTTTATTTGTATAATTGTATAATTTATATAATTGTATAATTGTATAATTTATATAATTCTATTGTAAAAAATAAATTTGTCGATTGACTGGCTTATCCGCATAGACTAAAGATTTCATGTGCCGCCACAAAAAATAATCCAGAGGAGATAGATCGGGAGATCTTGCAGGCCAATTTATTGGACCTTCCCGGCCAATCCAGCGCTCAGGAAATTTTTCATTTAGATATCTCGTAACATTCTAAGCTATGTTTATGCGATGTTTTCACTTAAAACAACAGTCAATTTATTAATATTATCTTGTGTCGCAAGTGTGGAAAACAATGAATTATGTCGAGTATGAAGTTGCCGCATTCGCTTCAGCACACTATAATAAATATGTATACACTTCGTGTTATATCCCGTTAATATGATACACGAAGTATTAATAGTAACAAAGCAACAAATCATCAAGTCTAACAGGCACCCGTGTCTTACATATTTTGTATTTGTTTACTCTATTACCTATTATCTTAGTATTATTATTGATCATCATACAATATTTAATTGCAGGTACAATTTTAACTATAATTTAATCGTATATATCCACATATGTATATACGCAATACAAAATTCTCAAAAAGTGGGCGCTTTCCAGATAGCAATGCGTGATGATCAGATTTCATCACGTCATGATCTTCTGATATTTATCGAAATATGATGTATGTTTTGTAATCATATTATGATGATACATATCATGAGCATAAGTTAACGTGCACATGAGAAAAAATGTGAGCTTAGATATTGACGTTACTTTGTCAGCTCATAATAATCACATGCTGACTGCAATAATTAACTATCATGTATTATAAGTTATGTACGTCCAACATTTTCGTCATTATTATATATTATAGAGCTCAAGCACATGATCTTTGTGACATTTTGCATAATGTAAAATTTGTTTTCATGCTAAATAAACAGAAAAAGAGAAAATGTTTAAAACATTTTTAAACATAAAATAATATTTTAATAAATATCAAAAAA